CACTTGAACAACAGCAGTAGCCTAGCTCTTACCCACTCCGTCACCCTCGCAGGGAACCAAGAGAGACTTCCGTGCCCCAAATCCCAATGCAGGAAGCTCAAGAGATGGCCTGACAGTTGAGAGGGAGCACTGCTCTTATAGAGGACCCAAGTACAACTCCCAGCACCTTTGTTGGGTGGCTCACACAAGAATATAACTCTCCTGACCTCCACGGCCACCTGCACTCACATGTACAAATCCCCCCCAACACACACACACACATATACATAACTAAAGAATGAAGCACATCTTTAAAAATAAAACAAAACCAACCAACCAAACAAACAAACAAATGAAAAACCAATGCGTGGAAGGCTCTGGTGCCAATCAGGGCTAACCTCCTCAAAATGAGTATTTCACAGAAAAAAAAAAATAGCCATTTGAAAGGAACTGACCAGACCTTCAGCATTTAAGTTATTTGCAAAGAAAATTCTGTGCTAACTGAGGTAATGCGGATTCTAGTCCCCGCTCCACCACTGCTGAGCCAGGTGACGTCAGACGAACGTCTTTCCCCTTCGGGGCATTGTTTTGTTCACGGGAGACTATGATGGAGTTGGTCTGTGGCCACAGTTCGAAGACATCCCCATCTCTTGCCCTCTCCTCCTTTGCCATCTCCTCACAGCAGGGGCCCTTTGCTGAAGCCAATGCCTTGTGGTAGCCCAAGATATAAATAAGTAGAAGCAAGGAAGGAGCTTATAGTCTGCTGCCAGGCAGCTGACCTCACAGAGCCTCAGTTGGAAAGCCAGAGTCCCTGCTACCCTCTGGTGCTCACAGCACAGGGACACTTCAGAGGACTCCAGCTCCAGTGCCGGTTGACTGAGCACATTCGCCCGCAGGGAAGAGTGTAGTTCTGAGGTGGACACTCTGGTGAGGACCCACGTGTGTCAGCAGGAGGACTTCGGAAGGGAGGAGGGGGAGGGGAGGACGGACTGGACAGTTTGCTCTCCTGACCTCTGGATGGAGTCTTAGTTGTCAATATGAAATACAAGGGTGAAGCTGTAGTCCGAGAGTTCTAGGACATCGCAACTTTGGTGGCAAGAGGGTACAGAGGGAGGGGTGCCATCAGTGCCCCTGAGGCGCACCTATGAAGTGACTGAGGGGAAGCACACTGCCCTGGTCCATGTTCCCTCACAGGTCTGTAAGTATGACTTCGTAGAGGTGCGCAGCGGCCTGTCTCCCGACGCCAAGCTTCACGGCAAGTTCTGTGGCTCCGAGACCCCCGAGGTCATCACTTCGCAGGGCAACAACATGCGTGTGGAGTTCAAGTCTGACAACACAGTCTCCAAACGAGGCTTCAGGGCCCACTTCTTCTCAGGCAGGTGGGGCGGGCCTGCAGAGGCCCGAAGGCTCCTGGACCCTGAGTTCCTGCAGCCTCCTCTCTGCCTTCTCCAACTTCCTCTTCATCTGGTTTTTATGTTGGTGGCCCAGTTCATTTCCTGGGGACACCCCAACAACTTGCCACATGCCAAGTGTGGCTTAAAACCAAAAAAAAAAAAAAAAAAAATATTTTCTTAAGTTCTATGAGTCAGAAATTGGAATTCAAGGACACCACAAAGCATGTAGTGGGTCCTGTTGGTCACATCACACTGGAGTATGGCCTGTTCAAAGGGGTGTTTGGGTCTCTCTCTTAGTGCTCAGCATTGAAGCAGGCCCATTATTTGTTGGCTTTATAGGTGCTCAGAGTTCTGTCTTTGACTTTTGGGGGAGGCGGTCTCTCACTGAGCAAGTTCTGTTTTGTGTTATGGGCACAGCACAGACCTGAGCTCAGAGGTTGCCTGGATGGCATCCAGACTGGCATAAGCTTGCCCTGGTTGGGGGGGCCAGAAAGACAACATCCTGGTAAGTCCCAGCTTAGGGTAGCCTGACGAGGGCTGATACTTGGAGGAGGGGACCTGAGGCAGTGGGTACAGCCTCTCTGCCTGAAGCATGTGATCTGGGCCAGTTCTGAAAGGCTGAGGGGGATATAGTATGACTAGAAAGAAACTGACCAAGGTCTGGAGAAGAGGGGGTGTCACGAGCTTGGATTTGCGGGTCTCGGTGTTTACAAAGACTTGCAAGACCAGACTGGCAGGACCCATAGTTGTCTGGGGAAGCCACAGGTGGACCATGTCAGGCAGGGTTGGTCGAAACGAGCCATGAATGCTGGCTGAAGAGTGGGATCCAGTGGGACAGGATGGAAAGCTCTCTGTAGGTTCTGAGCAGGGAGGTCTCAAATCATGTGATCAAACCAGGCCAGGCAGGATGGAGCTGAGAGGGCCAGGAATCTCCTCAGAGGCAGGTATGCAAGGCCCTAATGAGGGGTATAGTTCCATGCTTACACACAGAGCCCAGAGACAGAGAAACTAGGTCTTAGGAGGTAAGGGCCCCATGAGTGTCAGTAGGAGGCCTTAGGAAGGGAGGAAGGAGGGGAGCACTGTACTGGGCTATGACATCAGTTTACACTCTAAGAGCTCTGGATAGGGTTTTGGTTGTTCCCATAAAACACAAGCCACAATGTGAACTGTTCTAGAACACCACAACTATGATGACAAGAGAGTACCGAGGGAAGGCTGATACCTTAATCCCTGAGGCACATATAGAGTGGGGTAAAGGAAGGAGGCGGTGGAATGGAGGCAGAACCTCATTTACTGCAGAAAGAAGGTGGCAATGGAAAGGTCCATGCTGCTAGAGCCTCAGGAACCACAGGATAAGGGCCAACACTAGGGGTCTCATGTGACTGTAATTATAACAACCAACAGTTCCTGGGGGCCTAGACATTCCGAAGGCTTTCCCGATTCCCATTCATTTTCCCGTCCAACAACCTGAGGGGACCCAAGACAATGGAGCCTGAAGTACTGCCCTGCTGAACTGAAGTGGGCAGCACCGGCCATGTGGCTCCTGGCCCACACACTTACCTCTCTACACACGGGGAACAGTGTATGTCCAAACCTCCGGGTCACAATAAGCTTCTTGCTGAATGACTGGGCATAGACGCTGCCTCGGCTTGTTTCTTTGCATGTAAAATGGAGGGTACAGATATGCCCTCCCAAGCTCTATTGGGAATTAACATAGATAACAATAGCATACAGGAAGTGCCAAGGACCCATTCAGTATATGGTGATCATTTTCATTATTGCTGCTTTTGCTGTTCACGTGAACCTGCCCTCCAGGGAGCTCCTTGGTTTGGATGGGAAGCAGGACAGAGAACATATGTTCCACCCATGAAAGTGTTTTAGGAGCACAGAGAACCCCAAAGAGGCCAATGGATGCCCCCAATATTCCAAACAAAGATCCCCTCTCCGTGACTGTCACCTCTTTGAGGGGACGTGATCTGGGAGGCTCTTCAGAGGAAACCACTTTTGAGCCACAGGGGACAGTAGCAAGCAGGCAGCTCTTCTCAGGAGAGCCCATTGGTCTCCGCAGACAAGGACGAGTGTGCCAAGGACAATGGCGGCTGCCAGCAGGAGTGCGTCAACACGTTTGGGAGCTACCTGTGCAGGTGTGGGAATGGGTACCGACTGCACGAGAATGGACGTGACTGCAAAGAGGGTAAGCTGGCACTGTCTGGGCCGCACCTGCTTCTCCAGGTGTGTGAGCGGGCAAGGGAGGGATGTGGGTGGGAGCTGGCATGGAGAGTCACCATCTGTAGAATGCCGTGAGATCTCCACGTGAATCTTCACTTTGGTGGCTCTCCTGTGGGACAGCAATTAATTGTCTTAGGGACAGCTGGTCAGGAGGCCCGAGATGAGTGCCTATTGCAGACTGATTAAGCCAGTAGGCTCCAGAATCAATATACCTACCTCTAAATTATGGCTTTGCCCTTCCCTAGCTATGTACCCTTTGGCTAGTTACTTAAATACTCTGAGCTTCATTTTCCTCTTCTGTGACGAGCAGGGTAAACATGGTAATCATGTGTCTTTCCTCAGGGTTTTGTAAGGATTGCAGCCTGCCTAGGAAGTGCTTGAGACGGTCTGATGCATACTGTGCATGCTAGGTGTCTATAAATATTAGGCCCATGTCTTTGTCATAACAGTGCCCCAGGCAGGACTGAGAATGAAGCAGAATATGAGGAATTTCACCTGCTCCCTTCAGAGCCAGATGGGTTTGCTTGTCCAGCCATTGTGGAAGAAGCCTGCCCTTAGCGTTTACTTGCCCTGTGAAGGGAGTTTGTGTATCCATGATAAATGTAGCTAAAGGCCTTGCCCTGCCCTGGGTCGGTGAAGGGCTTGGAGGATGGCGGAAGATGTGAAGACCACATACCTCTTTCTTATTTGGAGATGGGAAAAATTGAGAGGAGGCATGCAAACCACTTACCACAGAGGAAGACTAACTCAATATACTAGTCACCAAGCAAGCCATGGTACCACTCTTGGCTAATAACAGGTGATATGGGCAAAGCAGGCAGGCCATGGATGAGATTGATGGAGGGAAGGCATAGTGCCCCAGGGATCTCTGTTGACATTCACCATGGGTGGCACTCTCTAGGCCTTTTACATGTGACACTAACGCACACCTATGAGCCTGGCATTCCTGTTACACCTGAGGACAGAGAGGTCTTAATCCCATAAGTTGTAGCACCAATACTCTCCTGAACTCGGCCTGACCCCAGGGCCTGTGCTCTAACCAGACGCTGACTCTACCACGTTCACAGTGCCAACCTCCATGTGAAGAGTCACAGTTACAGAAAGGTTTCTCCTCCGGAGCCCGTTCAAACAAAGTCAGAACCAGGTCACACCGGATCCAGGCTGGCTGCCCACACATTGGGTATTGACCCTGAGACTCCCCTGTGATGCTGGCCCCAGTTGAATGACTGTTCTGTTCCCTTCTGACCTCTAGCTGGCTGTGCATACAAGATCAGCAGTGCAGAGGGGACCCTGATGAGCCCCAACTGGCCTGACAAATACCCCAGCCGGAAGGAATGTACGTGGAACATTTCGTCAACCGCAGGCCACAGGGTGAAAATTGTGAGTTGTTTCATTAGGTTGCTAAGGGCATAAACTTTGGTGTTGGGCAGACACGGGTTCAAGTCCCTGCTCCGTGTCCATCATGGAGCATGCCCAGGTCTGTTGTGCTACTGAGGAATGGGAAGATGCTGTGAATCTCGAAGTGGGGGCTGCTGGGCAGATGAAGGGAGTGTGCTCTGTAACAGCACTTCTTCTGGCGGCACTGTGTGAGGTGGCCGCCACCACACAGGTCTGCAGTGCTGTGTGGGACTCACTTGTTTCCGGAGCAGATCTCTCACAGGACATTTCACTCTGGAAGAAGAAAACAAAAGACTGAATTTACACAGAAGGCTGACAGGGGAAGGTCACAAGTTCTCAGGTACCCCATTCCTAGTCTAGAAATTTGTGACTCTCTCCAGAAGTTTCCCACACATGGGAAAAAGCATGTACCTTTTTTTTCTTTACTCAGATCACTCACGTAGAATAAATACAATTATTCATACTCTCTGCAATCTACATCTTTTTCAATTAACAGTAAGACCACTATGCTAATTCTTCCTTCAGTTAAAAAAGCAACAATTGCCTTGCATTTAAAGTCTCGTCTGCATATATCTGATATGTAGTCTTGCACAGCACATTTCATTATTTACAAAAAAAAAAAAAAAGTCTCTTCTCCAAATCCCATGTCTTAGCTCCCTCACCCCGACCTGTAGTGTATGGCATATGAAGCAACTAACAGCTAGAGAATCTCTCTCTCTCTCTCTCTCTCTCTCTCTCTCTCTCTCTCTCTCTCTCTCTCTCACACACACACACACACACACACACACACACATACTCACACACTCACAGACACATATGCACACTCACATACATAGGATCACACACACACACACACTCACAGACACATATGCACACTCACATACATGGGATCACACACACACTCACACGTGCACACGCACATACACAAACACCTCAGACTGTTGAGATGAGAAGATGGACTTTATGAATGACTGACGAATGCAGGGGGGAGAGAAGAGAACAGAGACACACGGTGATTTGTAGATGATCATGCCAGGGAGTTTCCTGCTGCACAAGGATAGATTAATGGGCTTCCAAGGCATCATGGGTAACAAAGGGACCCCAGAGCATAGGGCATGCTCCTTGGGCACCTCCTGTACATGACATGTGCTGCCAATGTAGAAACTGCTTTCTTCTGCCCTGGGTCCCTCAGAACAGTGTGGAATCTGGATGAGGGTGAGTTAAGGGTTGAGAGCCTTTGCCCTAGACTGCCATCTGCTGGAAAGATGCACTGTTCCTTGGTGGCATCCTTTCCTGATGATCAGGAAGAACAGTGTACCCAGGGGTGGGACCTCAAATCTGCAAAATGGGATGCCTTAACCTGAGGTGTCTACACACAAGATATCTCTTTGGAACATGGTTGGTGGGTATGTTGACTGAACTCTGCCTTTTTTCTTTAAACTACAGATTGTGACCCCCAAACATACAACTCATGTTCCCCTTCCCACTCTGTCCTTATATTTAAGCCTTTACCTAATAACCCCTGCTTACCTTGACACCACAGGCAGACTATCAATCAGTCATCTGTATGGCTTGAAACTGTTCAGCTCCCAGGCCAACAACTGGGGACAGTCTTTGGTGGAGGGTTAGAAAGAAAAGAGACCACAGAATCTGGTTATGGTTAATAGTGTGGCCTGGAGAAGGTTGGCGCTGGGTCATGTTCAATTTTCACTCCAATTAGCTTCTCTATTACTCAGTTTCTCCTTCTGTTCCCTGGGGATACTAATAGATCTCCATAACGTCATTAGAACTTAAGTGAGAAAATTCCCATAATTTATTGGCGTGGAAAAAAAACACCCAACAAATATCAGCACTTGGAGGCTGATGGCAGAACAGTGTGGCCCTTCTCAAAGGCACTGGAATTTCAAGTGTGTGGTAGTGGGCACAGGCTAACAGTAGCATCTCTGAAGCCACAGTTCCCAGGTTCCATAGCAGCTCTGCCAGTGAGGACCCTGGAAAAGCCACCTGACATCTTCTTGCAGGGGTCATGCATGGGGCAGGGTTGCAAAGATTGAATGAGGGACATTTGCAAGGCCCATAACACAGCCACCAGCATGGGTGAGCACTCAGTCCCAGCTGGCCTCTAGCATTAGAGGAGGGGGGTGCGAAGAAGTAAATCTGAGTGGTTGGGAGCCTGGCCCTGGGACTGGATGTTGCATCATCATGGCAATGGTGGGCACCCCTGCAAAGCTGGCAGACAGACACCTCCCGGTCCTGTGTGCCCCTCCCCTCTCCTTCCCTTCTCAATGCCCTATCCTTACCTCACTTTCTGCTCTCCCATCTCCAGACATTCAATGAGTTTGAGATTGAGCAGCACCAGGAATGTGCCTATGACCACCTGGAACTGTACGATGGGACGGACAGCCTGGCCCCCATCCTCGGCCGCTTTTGTGGCAGCAAGAAGCCAGATCCTGTGGTGGCTACGGGCAGCAGCCTGTTTCTCAGGTTTTACTCAGACACCTCGGTGCAGAGGAAAGGTTTCCAGGCTGTGCACAGCACAGGTGCGGGCCACTGCTGAGCACCTCCCAGGCTCATAGCTGATGAAGGACCACCTTGGGTCTGTCTGCCAGGGTGGGGTGAGGAGAATGGCATCCTTAAACGTCCCTGTTAAAAGAAACAGCAGCTGCTGCCATTGGCTGGAGGTTGTTCTTTTTGGATGCCTTTAGCTGACAAAATTGGATGTGGGCAACACTTTGTTGGTGCCAACCCCCCCCCATCTCCCTCTTTCCCCCTTAAAAATGCGCTTGTCATCTTGCTGACCTGTGAAGTGCAAAGGTCTGAGAACTGAGTGGTGGAGAGCAGCCATTGTACCCTCGAGGGGCCACTTCTGGAAAACGTTGCTTTTCCTTGTCATTTTTTTTTTTTCTTTTTTTCCTGGCACTCCAAAAGTCAGCGGCTCTGCCGGGTCCTCTGGAAGAAAATAAGTATGCTTCTGACTTACCTACACTGTTAAATATAAGAAAACCAATAAGGAAGTGGACTCTGCTCCGCTCAGTCTCAGCCCTGCGGAGGAGGAATGTAGGCCCTTTGATCCTGACCTTGAATTGTGGCAGAGACAGGGGCTGCCCAAGAACCTGCGGCGGCTTTTGTCTCTGGTCCTGAGCAGGAGGTCATGATCACGGGACACTGCCGTTCTTTTTAACAGCTCCTTTCCCACTGCGGCTCTTTATAATAGCCCCTCCCCCTTTCCTCCGCCCCCTCAAGTCAGAGCCAGAAAACAGGGCTCAGAGCAAACAGAACGGCAGTTCCCATGTCCAATCAGTCTAGCCTTCCCTGCTTAGGCAGACACCCCACACTTCATGAGACCCTCTGTAGCCTCTTGAGGATCTATACTCCCCCCACAGGAGTTTAAGGTCACAGATGAGTGACTTCACCCTCTTGTCCCTGTAGACTGAGTAGAATATGGGTGCTCTGGGTCAGAGAGATGGCTCCGTGCTTAAGAGCACTGGCTGCTTTTGCAGAGAACCTGGATTTGATTTCCAGCAACCACACGATGGCTTACAACTGTCTGTAACTCCAGTTTCAGGGGATCTGATACCCTTTTCTGGCATTCACAGACACTACAAGCACACGGTGCACGTATAAACGTAAAGACAAAACACCCATACACATAGAATAAAATGAAATGGAATAGAGGTGCACTGGGTGGGTTCGGGTCTCAGTGGGAAGTTGGAGCATACTCGGGAAATAGTTGCAGACTTTAATAAAGGGACTATTTCCAGCAGGGCTTGCGGAGCATGAGGACACCTCAAGGGACAGGACAGGGGTTGAGAACCACAAGCATATATAGTCACCCCAGCCCAGAAAGCAGACGGGGGAATGGGCAGAGCTTATTGCTTGCCAGATGTTAACCTCCTTCTGACCTGCGAGTGTTGCCAATGGCTGAATTGTTAACCTCCTTCTGACCTGCGAACGTTGCCAATGGCTGAACCCAGGTTCAGAGTGACAGGTCACGGAGGTGCTGGGGTGGTGGTGGTGCAGCAGGCCCTCTCTGTGCTCAGTGTATGTCTCCTGAGTTAAAAGGCAGGTCAGACATGAAGAGACTGTAGGCAGAGTAAGGACAGGGCCAGGCCAACCCGGGTGAACAACTCCAGCTGGGATGTTAAGAACTAAATAGTCCACAATCCACACCAAAAGTAGCTCTGCCTCCCCATCCCCACCCCCACTCCTCCACCCCACCCTGACGCCTGCATTCATGGATCCTTCCAGTAGAAATTGAAGTTTCTGTGTTGTTGGGCTCAGCTGCAGTTCTGATAGGCTTTTACCGCCCCCTACTGGCAGACACCATAAATTACAGCTGGTGGGAGTCCTTTCTGCTTCCAGTACCTCCAAGGCTTGGAATAGTTAGATCAGTCACACCGCTCTTAGTCAGGCAAGCCTCTCTTTGGCTCCTTTTTCCCCCTTGGTGGGGAGAGGGGCAACAGCTAGTCTTTTTCGGCGGCATTCTTGGGCCTGTTTGGATGCCCCTGGGATGCCCTGCCCTCTGCACCACTGGCCTCTGCCTCTTTCTCGTGCACTAGGATGGTGAGGTTGCCTATCCCCTCCTGCAAGGCATGCAACGGACTTCAGAGAAGCAACAGGCTGATGCCCAGGGGACGAGTGAGTCTTTGTTCTCTCTGCTGCAGAGTGCGGGGGCAGGCTGAAGGCTGGAGTGCAGACCAAAGAGCTCTATTCTCATGCCCAGTTTGGGGACAACAACTACCCGAGCCAGGCCCACTGCGACTGGGTGATAGTGGCGGAGGACGGCTATGGCGTGGAGCTGATATTCCGGACCTTCGAAGTCGAGGAGGAGGCAGACTGTGGTTACGACTACATGGAGGCCTACGACGGCTACGACAGCTCGGCACCCAGGCTTGGCCGCTTCTGTGGCTCAGGGGTGAGTCTGAGGGATGCACAGGATGCCTCCTGATGTCATACCTAGCTAGAATCCTGCCACTGTGAGCCATAGCCAGGAGTCCATTTGGCTGTGGTAGAGTGGAAAGGAGACTCCCCAGAGGCAGGTTGGGAGGCGGCCAGGGGCCTTCCGGACACACAAAGGACGTTATCAGCTGTGAGAGAGCACTTCATCCTTTCTCCCTTTGCCTCTGCCTTTGAGTCCTGTTCCTCATTTTCATTTGGCTTTTGGGCTTTATTAATTCATTATGTTAGTATATATTCACTATGTTCACAGTTCTTATCATAAGCAAAACCAAGTATAGATTACAAATGATCACAAATCATACTTGGTATAAACACAATGTTTACATCTGAGGTCATTATTTTTCTCTTTATTACCCACTTCCTGGGCTCACTATATCTCCAGCACCTGACTCAGGGTGGACATACAGTCTGTGCCCAGTGGGTGTATAGGAACAAGTGAGTACAAAGTCCTAGCCACTCCCCAAACACACCACATGGCACACCCACCATCTGTCCTGGGCTTCAACCCTTGTCTCTGCTGATCGCTCAGGCTTCTTTACTATTGCCTAGGCTTATGCAAATCATTTTGGAATCATCACTGCTCCTGGTGCAAAACAGACATTCAGCCCGGTATTCATGTCTTTGAATGGTTAGTCTTCTGTCTTACCTTGTCTCCCCTGCAACCCCAAAAGAAAGAAAAAACAAATGAGATCTCCTGATGCCTTTGATAAAACTTCTGAAACCAAGGAGTCCGTGGAGAGGAGCCCCTTAGAGATCTTAATTAGTAGGAAGTCCCTTGTGGCACCCTAGGATCTGGAGGCAGTGGCCTTGGCATCTGGCTCTAACCCCATTCCAGACCACCTGGCAGAAGTCTCCCAACACAAATGTAGCAGCTCCACCCACTCGCTGGCCATGACCAAGCGTAGACCTGCACAGTGGTCTTCACTCCAGGTTTCCTGGCAGACACATCACATTGTTAAAAATCACAGCGCAGGAGATCCACAGGACGAGCAGACAGACCCAAGTGTGGATCCTGCTGACCTATGTGAATTTGACTCTTAGGCTCCTCACATGTAAAGTGCACCCAGTGCCTGCCTTCTTACACACTTGCAAAGTCTGTGTTAGATGAGATCTGGATGTGGGCAGCCCAGTGCCTGCCTTCTTACACACTTGTGAGGTTTGCATTAGATGAGATCTGGATGTGGGTAGTCAGTGCCTGCCTTCTTACACACTTGTGACATCTGCATTAGATGAGATCTGGATGTGGGTAGCCCAGTGCCTGCCTTCTTACACACTTGCGAAGTTTGCATTAGATGACATCTGGATGTGGGTAGGCAGTGCCAGGCCCGCCTGGGGCCTGATAGCACATAGATGCTGAATGTGATCTGCGTCTAGCCTCAACTTTGTAAAGTAGGGCCCAGGGAATCTTCCTTTGAGAAGGAGCCTGCTTGGATGCCCGTCAGAGCTTCTGGGGATCTCATGGCAGTCGTGGCCATCCTTGGGCCCCATCTCAGTTACACCCTCCTCTACATTTCAACAATAACAGACTGACCTAAAATCTAGCTTTCCCTTTTCTTTTCCTCAGCCATTAGAGGAAATCTACTCTGCAGGGGATTCGCTGATGATTCGATTCCACACGGATGACACCATCAACAAGAAAGGCTTTCATGCCCGATACACCAGCACCAAGTTCCAGGATGCCTTGCACATGAGGAAATAGCGTCAAGGCTCTGGCAAGGCAGAGACGAAGGATGTTTTAAACACCCATGAATGAGTAGCCCCCAGTGTACAGTATCCTTCTCAACAACAAAAACTCAAACTACATCCTTGAAACTATATATCTGGATGAAAAGTACATGCCTTTGGCCAACAGGAAGAGAAAGAGTGTCCGGTTGGTTCTAGCTGCAGTGTTACCGATCGCAGCTTCTAAAGGAGGTTAAAATTTGAAGTCAGTGACCAAACAAGCTGTGCCCTTGCTCCTATGGGGCAAAAGGCCAGCCTGGGCTACCCCATCCTCAACTCTGGACTGGCTGCCATAAGTGACAGGCAACATGAGCTTCTCCTGATGACTCCGCTGCCTTCTGTCAGCACTGGACGTTGAGGACAAAAGCTTGGCCGTGGCTGAGTTGTTCCAGGTGTGGCTGGGAGTTTTGATTAGCTCTTCCAGAGTCAAGCCAATCAGGAAACCTGAGACTATGTATGGACACAAGAGCAAAAGAGGCATCTCAGTGCGCAGAGGGAGGCTTAGCCTGGGAACTAGCATCATGGAGTTGGAAGATCTCACGCCTTTTCCTGTTACTGGCCATCCTTGCCTCCTCTAGGGTGCTCCTGCCATTAGTACCCATTAGTGAGGGAGAATCCATGGTCACACCCAGCAGAACACTCACTGGTGAGCACTCCCAGGTTGCTGAGATGACACTCAGAGGCTGAGAGGATGCCACCTGTGCTGGGATTCCCACCGGCTTCCAAGCACTCCCAGCTGTGGAGGCAGAGGCATCTGCTCCAGGGAACCTCAGCCCCTGGACAGCCAGTTCAAACAGCATCTGCAAGACTTGCCGCCAAGTCATCTCAGGAACAATTCAGGTCTCACTAGGTGAAAACTAGTAATTCCAAGTTATGTAAGAGTCGTCATCTTCTGGAACAAGTGGGTCTGTGGCACACTTCATGTCACCAGACAGGTTAAAGAGCACGTTGGCAGCTTTGCTGCAGTTAAGCAAGATGCAGCCGTCACACTGCAACACAGAATTCTCAACACCCTGACACTTGTTCTAAAGAAGTGTAGAGGGTGATGTTTACATAATTTTAGCACCTCAAAGCATAATTGAAATAGTGAGGTAGTTTTGAATGGCATTTCATTAAGGCATCTCTGGGCATTATGAGCTAAAAGCTGTGGTATGTTAGCTTTATAAGAGCATTTATGTTGGAATAACTTTAAAGTAATGTTTACATAACCGCAAGTCCTATTGGGTTGGTGGTGAACACAGGAGACTGCTTCCGTTAGAGATGGCGTAGCTCCCGAGCACCAGAATCCCTTTGTGATGAACCATCACTTTAAAGAAAGTGTTTGTGAAAGTTGAAGGTTTTTCTTTTTTAAAAAGGATCCCAGTATACCAACCAGAGGACGACATCTAACTAAAGTGACTGCTGAGAGCAAAAAACTAGAATGATACAAAGAAAGGGGAAAGAAATGCATGGGAGCATTTTGTTCTTAAAACAGAAAAAAAAAATCCAAGTATTATTAATAATAATAATATATGTCTGTATATATGTATCTATGTATGTATGTAAGGATCAGCTATCAAAGCCTTAATCAGGGCAGTATGACAGTGCCAACCCACTGGCTGTGGCTTATCATCAGACTCCGGTGCTGGCCCCACACATGACCCATCTCCCTTCAAAACCAAGATCTCTTCCAGCTTCTCTTGGCCCTGAACTGAGGCTCGGTCTCCATCCTCATGTCCTGATTGCTGGCACACCCACCTGGGGAGAGCTTTATATGGCCAAAAAGACAGCTTATCCCATTGTTTTGGTCCCATCAACCCACTATGGTAGATTCCACTGCTCTGGTGTATGTGTGTGTGTGTGTGTGTGTGTGTGTGTGTGTGTGTGTGTGTGTGTGTGTTTAGGTTATACTTTTGTCTCATTTTGTCTGTGAAGGGTGAACCAGAAATCAGGATGCATAAGGTATCTGTCCCCAACCCCCCACTCCACAGAGATAAAAATTCTGTATTTTTAACCTTTAGAAGTCTAAATAAGATTGACAAATTCCATGGAAAATGGGAGCTGGGGAGAGACAGGGTTTGCCACTGTGGTGACACACTGATCATTCTTTTAGTGTGAATGTTTTTCAGAAGCACACAGCTCTAGCAGAGGCCGTTTACAACAATGCGGCTCTCATTGTAGCCCTTGTTTAGGCCTGTGAGTGACATACTCCCAGAAGACAGGCTCTGATTCAACAAGGGCTGCTGGGGGCCCCTTCTCTGGAAGCCGACACCCACAGGAATTCACACAGGACACAGGCCCTCAAAGAACTGCAGTCTGGCTTCCAAGAATAGTCCACTCCACAGAAAGACCCAGCTGCCCCCACTTTGGCCCTTCCAATTGCTCAGTGGCCTTTTGGAAAACGTCCCTGGATGTGCATGGAGAAAAGGACTCGAGGCTAGCTCTTCAGTTTACCTTCCCATTTATCTGGGACCGAGCCTGTGAATGTCATGAAGCTCTAAGACCCAAGAACTGACTCTGGGACAAATGACCTAAGGTAGTATTTGGAACCTGGGTCCCTGTGCCCTAAGTCTAGCATACTCAGAATCAGCAGAAGCAGGAACCTGCACCCGAGGTGGGGGAACTCCAAACGGCTGGCATGAGGCTATGTATCGATTCACTATTATCTCTGAAGTTTCTCTCTCAGTGTTCCCTCTACACAGTCGTGGAACTCATAGACTGCTCAGCCTGTTGAGATGATTCTCTAACCACAGTTAAGCAGCAGCTTCACATAAGAACACGCCGTCAGTTTGGCCCCTTTGCTACTCCTTAGACTTCTTGGTATTGTTCATGGAGTTTGGGAAGAGATGGCCCCTTAGCATCCATAGATGTTTTAAACTTTGCAGATTGTGATCAAACCGCTGATCAGTAACCCCCAAATCTAAAAAGGTTCTTAAAAAAAAAAAGAAAAGAAAAGTGTTATCTATATATATAAGGGTATTTTTTATTTTGAGTAACTTTGCATTTCATGTAAAATGTCAGTTGGCAAGAACATGGGGGAGATGGTAATCCTTGTCTAAAAATGATGGCTTCATTAAAGAATGTGGATTTGCTGCTGTGTTCTGGGTTTGTGTTACTAGTTCAGACAACCTTTTTAAAAATGTGTTACTTTTTGTTTTTTGATTTTGAGTGTCTGCCTACATGTATGTATGTGTACTCTGTATGTGCCTGGTATCCTCAGAGGTCAGAAGCAGGCATATGACTCCCTGGAACTGGAATTACAGACAGTTGTGAGCCACCAGGTAGGTACTGGGAACCGAACCCAGGTCCTCATCAAGAGCAGTAAATGCCCTTAACTGCCGAGCCACCTCTCCAGTCTCCATTAGTGATATTTTAAAGAAATATTTGGAAAAATCAAAGCAGGTGTTTTGGGACCACACATGAATACAGTGAAACCCTGGCCTCAGTGTGATATTAGTGGGTGAGCCTTTGAGGAACGACAGCTCCCCTTCCCTGTCACCATGTGAGAGCAAAGCAAGGACATGATTGCCCGTGAACAAGACATGGATCCTTATCACACATCAACATTGCTGGGACCTTGATCTTGGCCTTGATGGGTACCAGAAGCATGTGTGTAAGTACCCTATTGTTTCTAATATGCCCAGCATATGGGTTTCTCAACCTAGGCAGCCACTTAGCATTTAGACACAGACAGCTTTTTAAGATGACCAAGCCTGCCGGGCGTTGTTGGCGCACACCTTTAATCCCGGCACTTGGGAGGCAGAGCCAGGCGGATCTCTGTGAGTTTGAGGCCAGCCTGGTCTACAGAGCAAGATCCAGGACAGGCACCAAAACTACACAGAGAAACCCTGTCTCAAACCCCCCTCTCCAAAAAAAAGATGGCCAAGCCTAGTAAATCATTGGTGTGACTAGACGTGTCCAAATTTAAATACTGGAAAATGTAAATGATCGGGGAATCAGAGTTCAAGTCCCCAACCTCTCACCCGTGAAGGACATTCCTTCTGCTATGTCTAAGGAGATGCTCCTTAGGCCCAACACAGAAAGCCCCAAACTTACAATGGTTAGACTGAACAGTTTTGGAAATAAAACCTTTACAATGGTGTAAAAATGATATGCATTTAGTAGAAACTACGCTTCAAATTTTTAAATTTTCATTTTTTGGTAAGATAATCTCTCATGGCACCGTGTGGTCGCAAGTGTCAGCAAAATGACACTGTATAGTGTTACTAAGCTGTGAGGTGTGGGAGGGTGGCTGTGTTCCATGAATTTTTGACTTACGCTATTTCCAGCTTGGAATAGGGCTGTTAGGCATAACTGCCTTATAAGTTAGGGAGCGTCTGGACTCCCAGAGGAGGGGGGCCTGCTGACCTCACTCACCCTCTTTCCGTGGTCAAACACATTCAAGTGTATCCTGCAAATCCACCTCTGGGCATTGGGGGGACCCTCCCTGGGGAGAGAACCATGCAGTCCTCTTTGGCATGTGACTCACTCCACACCAAGCAGTTCTTCCTTCTGGAACGAGAGTCTCCGTCAGTTGGCAAAAGGGCAGAGACATTTCAGAGCACACTTTCCTAAGGCCATCCTCAGAGGACTGTGAGGAATGTCCTTTGTCGACACCGCGGGAGCAACCCCACTGTCTCCCAGAGCCCTGTGCCTTGACTGTCTGTTCCCTGCATGCTCCACTACATCCCATCCATAATGACTGATGCAAGATGTTTAGGGGGAAGCACCACTTAACCAAAGGTGCCAACCGTTCTTCTAAAGAGATGGCATGCCCATCAGAGGGAGAGCTGGGGATCTGTGAGTACATCATGGAAAGAATCAGAAATATCTCAGTGGCCTTGTACATGCACAACCAGGCCTCAGGAAAGCGAACCAAGGCTGTTGGGAAAGTTCTCATGTCTACCTACAATTCTATGTCTTACAAGAAAATCTAGGTGCCTGGCTTGGAGCAGGTATGTTGATTAACCATCCAGTCTACAGATTCAGAGGTGGAGGCTAGGTGAGTGCCCTCAGCTCCTACAGAGGCAGCTGTGGTTTTACGTTTGGGTCTCACTGTGTTGACTCTGTGACTTCTAAGTACCATTATATTTAGTTTAGACAGTCACTCTGGGTTGTGGGATAATCTTTTTGTACACTATAAAGATGTGTCTCTGCCTAAGGTACCTTCCAATTGGTTTAATAAAGAGCTAAATGGCCAATAGCAAGGCAGGAGAAAATAGGTGGAACTTCCGGGGTTCTTCAGTTCAGCCAGGCTGGTTGGTCAGTGAGTTCCAGGGATGCAGGGATCACTCTCTCTGCCTCCTCCCTCCCTCCAGTGCTTGGCAGGCCCTCCACTGACTGAGATGTCTCTCCAGCCCTACAACTCACTTTAAGAGACAAACTCATGACGGAAATCATAAGCTATTGAAAACAGCCTCAGCTCTAAGAGACTAGCGCTCGAGATGCAAGGATGGAAAGCTAGAGGCTGGCATGAACTAACCACTGGGTGTGTCCACTGCAGGAACCATAGCCCTACCCCACACAGAGGGTTCTCAGCACGTCTCACGTAGCCATGCTTTGTGCTGATACCGAAGTTATGTTGGCCGTGTCATGGCTAGAAATGTGTTTAGTGTGAGTTCTGTCAGCTGGGGGTAGAGCAGTCAACCTCAGTCTTCATGTCCTCTTTTAAAAAAGATTTATTTCATCTCTCTCTCTCTCTCTCTCTCTCTCTCTCTCTCTCTCTCTCTCTCTCTCTGTGTGTGTGTGTGTGTGTGTGTGTGTGTGTGTGTGTGGTGTCTGTGTCCATAGAAGTCAGAAGAAGATGTAGGGTCCTCTGGAACTGTAGCTCCAGGCAGTTGTGGGCTGCCTAAAGGGAATGCTAGGAACTGAACTCCAGACCTCTGCAGGAGTGGTATGTGATCTCAACTACTGAGCCTCCTCTCCAGCCCTGTCACCCATTGTTTCTAATGAGCTGCCAGCTGCCAGAGCTCCAAACTCTCACACTAGCGTGTGGCTTCTTTGCTGCGCAGTGAAAAGGACAGAAAATAAAGACAAAGAGAAGGAAGGCTCAAGCCACGTGCGGTGTGCAGGGGACAGAAGCTCATCAGCTGAGGGCTTGGCTACTCCTATGACCATACATGGCGTAGCAAGGGCTTTCCTGGGACTACCTCTAGCCCTGCCTCCCCAGCATTCCCAGCTGGTGTCCTACAAATGGGAGACACTGGCCGATAGTGCCAGTGACAGAGAAGCTTGCCAAGGGAGCCTGTTAGAAATGGTAAGAGCATCTTTCTTAGCTTGACCTTTCTTTCTCTCGCTGTAAACCAATTCCAAGACATTAAGGCTCAAGTCTCCCAGTTCAATACCTATAACTGTACCTTTCCTACAATGAAGTCCTGGAGCTTGGCTTTTATTTTTTTCCCTAGGTACAAAATATTAATTTAAAAAATTTCATTGTATATGTGCTGATCTCATCTTTTCCTTGACGCGAAGCTTTTCTTGTTCAGCCTTCTACACAACGGTGATGCAGGGGAGGTGTCTGAGCTCTCTTTGTTTCCTGGTGGAAGCCTTGGGTTCAGATCAGTGATCTTGTCTTTAGTTGTTCAGTCTTCTGCCTTCTGCTTTCTCAGCAGCATGGACCAGAAGCTCTCCACCTTTCCTACTGATGTGTGGTACATAATTGGTGTGACTCCGCCAGGGGAAGTTTGCTCAACCAAGAAGGGAATCAGCAGGCTTCTGTGGTTTCTTTTTTTTCTGTGTGCAAGTCCTAGACTTTATAGACGCAGAAAATCACTCATGTATATGTACATATGTACACATATACATATGAGTGTATATGTACACCCAAATACATGAGTGACCGTACATACTGATCACATATGCTACACACACATATATGGACTTGAAAGCAGCAGGGAAACTGTCTGGAAGAGGTGAAAGGGGAAGAGAGTGGGTGATGGGGCATGCTGCAAGTACATTTCATGTTTATATGAAAATGGCCTTGTACATAATATATAGAATAAAATATGCAATGGTATATAACATATAATAAATAGTATGTACGATTTAAAAGCTAGGATGACTTTGGTTATAAACACTAGTTTATAACACCTAGCTATTATTTTTATTATTATTTACTTATTCTAGGAGAAAAAACACAAGGTAAGCAATAGAAGCCAAACTCTTGCCAAGTTGTGCTTATTTAGTGCCTCGCTATTGGAAATTAGATTTGTTTCAACGGAGTGTCTCAGAGGGATTGAGTTGAGATGAGGGATCAACTCTTTCATTAATATGATAATTTCAGAGTCATTCTGAACCAAGATCAAGTTGTTGAAGAATATACTGAAGTAGTTTGTGTACTGGAGCATCTCTGGTTCAACGCCACTAAAATTTGTGAACTTTCCTGAAAATAACCCAGGTGACTGCCAATGGATGAGTGACTAACGAAATGATGGAGCACTTATACTAAGTATATATTCAATATATATGTGTATGTATATACAAATGATATTCCTGAATTAATATTATCCAGCCCTTATGGAGAAGATCCTGAGCTTTGCCACAACCTTGAGGGGTTAGAGGCATCATGCTGAAAGGTATGTCATGTACAACTGTTGCAGATCTCACGTAGAACTTAAAGAGAAGTGATGAGAAGTCACAGGAGTTAGGAAACCCTGTGACTATTTACCACTGACCTCTGGAAGGAACCCCGCCTTGGTCCAGGTTTCCGCCTTGGTCCAGGTTTCCACACCTGGGCTGCAGGGATAATAACTCTGTCCTATTGGAAGTCATCAGAACAGAGTTAATGGAAGACGGTCCTGTTCCCTCTTCCCCTTCATAAGCATTAAACCCACGAGGGATACTCAGCCTCAGAAGAGGGCAGGGGCCTCTAGAAACATTCCATAGCTGTGACATCCACAATTCAGATCCTTTGGCTATGGCCGCTTGATGCTAAAAATTCTGCCCGGACCATTTGCAGGTTGGAAGGAGCTGCCACAGTATATCCCTTGAGGTTTTCCTGTGAAGTGGGCAGGATGACCGAACAGTATCCCATTTCCAGAATGGAAAAACTGAGCCTGGCAGGATAGGGGCTGTGAGGATATGGAGGCCAGAAAGTTTGTCTTCTCCAAGACCATACAACTTCCAAGTGCACAGCAAAGGCTGTACCCAAACCTAGATCATGTGGTTCAGGCCCAGGGTTACTTCACCCCACCCAGCTGCGTCTCTAGAGGGCACCATGCCATCCTTTCCTCTCCATGACAGCATGGCACTGTGTTTCTACAAAATATGAAAGTCTTTCTGAAAGTGGCCAAAACCTCCGTCATCTGCGTGTTGATAAACAATGCACGCAAAGGCCCACTTGTTGCTTGCAGCCCTCTTCTCCCGTCTCTCCCAAAGGAAGCTTTGTCTGTGGCCCGCTGACATAATCACTGATGAGATAAGTCTCTACAGCTGCATACACCATAGAGCTCAGCAAGTGCCCTTGGGGCACCGGTAGGCTCAGGGTAGTGTCAGCGGGAAAGGCAGTGGTTGGAGCCCTTGGGCCAGGAGACCCTTATCTGGGAGTCCCAGATGCCACCCTGGTTCTAGTAGCCCAGAAGAAGAGGAATATTGATTCACCTGAAGAAACTGAGGGGTTGCAGGGAAGCCCTGTGGTGTGGTAGGGAAACATCACCAGGGGACTTGGTTCTCAAGACAGCTGACTTCGCTGTGTGATGACCCATTCACATGCTTGGGCCTTGGGTGCTTGCTCTGTAAAGGGAAAATGTATTGTTAATCAGTGGCAGAGCAGTGGACAAAGTCACTGTTGTGACATCTAAGGGGCTCTCCTAATGAAGAATGTACTCTTTAGGGTGGAGTCGGGAGAGGTATAGGTTATAGGTTCTTCAAACACTTTATACTCTCCAAGGATTTTCCCGTTCTTTAGCCCATGTGACTTCCAGCCCACAGGTGGTCAGTTTTCTTGGTTTTGCACATGTAGGGCTTTGTAATCTAAACTCAGCCTTGGGCTGTCTGATCTGGATTCAGTCTTGGGCTGAACCCGGTCCCAGGACCAGGATAAGTCACTTGTTTCAAAAAGGAGCTTGGACTGTCCTGACCTGTTTATGACATGACTTCTCATGAGTTCCTGGGTCTCACTCTTCTATCCCTTGCAGTGAACTCCTGGGGTATAAAATGACCTTTGAGGCACTTCAGGCCCAATATGTTCCCATTCTTTGGGACACTTTAGTTTCTTCCATTATTTCTATTTTGGGGAAGGAGGTGTGCAGGTATGTGTGGGTCAGAGGACAACTTTGTAGAGTTCGTTCTTTCCTTCCCCTTTATGTGGGTCCCAGGGGTGGAACTCAGGTCATCAGGCTTGTGTGGCAAGTGCTCTTAGCTGCTGAGTCATCTCTCTGTTCCCACCCCAGTATTTCCATTGTCAGAAAACATTTAATGTTAAAATTTAGCAAATGTGTTGCTGATTGAGTGACAGACCCAGTTTTGGGGGGCTGTGGGGGAGATCAAGAGCTGGGGGGGGGAGGCAGGAAGAACCAGGATGTCAGGAGATGGGACTAGGGGAGGGGCCAGCCAGGAACCAGGAGTAAGGATGGATGAAAGTCCAGGAGGTAGAGAGAAGACACAAGGCAGGGAAGGCCACTGGCTAAGCCATAGCAGGGTCCACAGATGCGCCCAGCAGCAGGGAAAGGACTTGATAGAGCAGCCTGGAAAGATGTGCCAATCAGCCCAAACCGGAATGATGGACAGGGATGAGGGAGCAGAAAGGAGCCACCAAAGGCCTTGGCAAGACCTTACCCTGATAAGAGATGTGTGCAGGAAATTTGGTATGCTGTGGGGTGCAAAGTTTTATGTTGATTACACACAATGAGGAGGGATAAGCCAGGTACAGAGGGGTAAGTCCAGTTCCCTGCTACCTTGACTGGATCTGCTCACTGCCGAAGCCTCAGCTCAGCCTTGGTAAAAACCCACAGCCTCATCTCTCTCTGGCTAACTCTCCTGAGAAGGTGGCTAACAGTCAGGGGTTACATCATACCCTTTGGGGGAGCTGATCTTATTTAAGCTGAAAACATTACTAAGTAATGTTTCTAAATTCTCAGGTCTCCCTTGAAAGGCATTCTGGGAGAAAATAATTTCCAGTGTTCTGATGAGCCCCCCAGTCTAGCCCTGGCTGAGAGCTGGAGGGGGAGAAGGAAAGCCCATCACCTATGGCACAGCTCTCCAGTACCCCAGGCTCCTGTATTGACTGTTCTTAGGCTGACACTGGGAACAGATACGCGCCGGTGGAGCCCAACTCTGGGTTCAGTTCGCCTTTGCCAGGGTTGCTAAGACTTGGAGGCAGAGGTTCGGGAGGTTGCTAACCGTTCCTGGGAGTTTTAATGTTTCTTTCTCTCTTGCAGAGTTTTTCACTGAACTTTACACTGCCAGTAAATACAGTAAGTAGAGTGGTCAGACCCCTATCTCCAGGCAAGCGGGAGAAGGTCAAAGTAGAACTTATAGGGGGGACTCCAAAACTCTGTCCCACATGCCCTGAATATTGTGATAAAGCGCACACAGTCTGTGTTGAATGGTCCTGAGAGCAACGTTTGTTTGAATTTAAATTATCCATGTGGGGTGTGTGTGTGTGTGTGTGTGTGTGTGTGTGTGTGTGTGTGTGTGTGTGTGTGGTATGGACATACATGGGCCATAACATGTGTAGGACAACTTGCTGAAGGGAGCCAGTTCTCTCCTTCCACCATGTGGGTTCAGGGATTGAACTCGGGCCATGAGGCTTTGCAGCAAGTTCCTCTACCCACTAAGCAATCTCTCCAGCCCTGAGAGCAATGTTTTTATCTTAAGAAAGTATAAACGTTCGTTTTTGAAAAAGAAAATTAAGTCCCTAAATTCCCATCCTCGGAAAACCGCAGGGCAGCGCCCCCTGCCGTCTGACTTTACAGGCACGCCGGCTTCTTCCTCCCACTGTTCTTACTCTACATACAATTTTGTGCCTTAAATATTTTCCACCAGTCTTTCTAACCAACTGAGGATAGCCCCACGTTATTTCTCCAAGTGTCTTGTTTTGTGTGGTGAGTTCCAGACGAGAGTAACTGTGTGATGAACATCATTATAGAGAAGACTTGTCCGTAGTTTCCTTTTTGAGACCAGGGCTCCCAATGTAGCTCTGATGGCCTTGAACCTGCAATGGCCCTACTTCCACCTCCTCAGTGCATGCGCTGCTGTGTCTGACTGTGTCTGTATTTGAGATTACTTCCTAAGTGCAGAGTCTGGGAAGAGAGTGATTGGGCCGATCAGGAATGAGTATTTTTAGTGGGTAAGGTTATCGCTATGTCTGTAACCCAGGGCTGTGTTACAGGGCTGTGTCACCTCCCTTCCCTGTGCCTTACTCTTCTCATCTGTGAAATGGAGGCCATGTTGGTCCTGCTTCATTCGGTGCCCTGAGGTGTGTGGGTCAGTTAATATGGAAAAAGGGCTTGGACAGCCTGGCACACACTGGATGTTCCACAAGCATTAGATGTGGAATTAACAGGTGCTCATGAGAGTAGAAATCCCATCAGGAGAAGCAGGAAGTAAACAGGAAGGCAGCCATGCTGTCTAGGAGAGATGGAGAGAGGGAAGCCTCACCCAAGCTCCCTTCCCCACCTCCAGGCCCTAGAGAAGCCAGCTTCTCACCCCCACCCCAGGCTCCACTAGCTACCTCTGTACCCTGACTGTTAACTGCCTTACAAAATGTTTTCTAGAAACTGGATCTTGCCCATTGTCCAGAATAGCCTTGAACTCAAGTTCCCTCTGCCTCTGTCTTCCAAGTGCTGAGATTAAAGGCATGTGGTCACTAAACCGGATATGTTTCTGCCCTAGCCAGCCTGAGTAAATTTCTGTACTTTGAAGACAGAATACCTTCCCTGAAACAATGGTCAGTTCTTCCTGCCATCCTCAGAAAAACAATACTCGCCGGTTGTGGTGGCACACAGAGGTAGGATTTGCTGAAGGAGGCGGAGGCAGGACAATACTTCACACAGATGCAGGGCCGTGATATGAGAGTGTATAGGGTCGTGTTTATGTGAAAATAGCCATCTAAGGAGCAGCAGGCAACACCACCACCAGCCCTGATGGGAGCTCACGAGGAAAGAGGTCTGTCCTGAAGGTCAAATGCTCAAGTTCAGGTCAGATTCATCCGTGGAAACGTGGTCCTGAATTGTGTGAGTTCTCTGAGGTCTGTTTTACCTTCCTCGGAGGTGCTAACCACAGAAAGCCTGGAGACGCCATTGCGGCCGTCAAGACTATAGAGAGGGGCTGGGCGGTGATGGCGCACGCCTTTAATCCCAGCACTCGGGAGGCAGAGGCAGGAGGATCTCTGTGAGTTCGAGACCAGCCTGGACTACAGAGCGAGATCCAGGAAAGGCACCAAAACAACACAGAGAAACCCTGTCTTGAAAAAACAAAAAACAAAAAAATCCGCAGAGAGGGTTAAATAAAAATAGACCTGACCAGTGCTTGAACATAAGGTCATGACTGTGGTGCTCATGAGATCCCTAAAGCCCCCAGAGGTAGCTATTATTGTCCCTATTTTCTTTTTCTATTTTCATGCATGTGTATGTGGTGTGCAGTCATGTGTGTGCATGTTTTGCATGTGTGTGTGTACATACACATGTATGTGCATGTGTAGGCCCACGGTTGACATTAGGAATCATCCTCCATGTCTCTTCCACCTTATTCATTGATGCAGGGTCTCTCTGTCACACCCAGAACTCCCTAACATGGCTATGACTAGTCTTGCTAGCCAGTTTGCTTAAGGAATCCCAACTCTGCCTTCTAAATCTGAAATTACAGGAAGATCCTGACTCCCACCAGGCATTTACACGGCTTCTGGGATTTGAACTCTGGTCCTAAAGCTTAGGCACCCCTACTCCCCCCCCCCCCCCCCGCCCCAGCCATTGCTTACCTTATTTTAGCTGATGAATAAAATGAGACCCTGCAGCTTCTGGGCAGAGGAAGGAGTCTCCCTCTGCAGGCAGTGTAAGCCCCCAACCTGCAATCATTTTATCCCTATTCATGGTGCTAGGAATCCGGTGCAGACTGAGCCAGCACCCTACCACTGAGCACCCAGGACCCAGGATGACTCCACATGGCATAGTGTACACAGTCGCTTATATAAAGCTTTGTTCCTGGAGATGCACTTGAACTACCTCAGACAGGGGTGACATGCAGCACCCCTCCTTCCTCAAGTGGAGACGTGAACCAGAAAGATGAACTGTTCCATGTGGGTTCATCTGGGCCTGTGGATGATCTACAGACGCCTTTGCTCTGCTCTATGTTTGGAAACAAGCATGGCTTCCTTAAGAAACTTCCTAACAAAGCCTTACTGCAATGCTTATATTTCTCCTAGTGGGGAAAAGTGGGCTGATGTGTGCTGGCCCCAGCATGCAGGCTAGAGACAGGAGATGAAGACTGTGTTACGGCAGATTCACCATGTAGATAGTGAAGACGTCAATTGACTTTTGGAATTTATTTCCCCATAGCCTAATTTCACTCTAATTCTTACTTTGGAAACACTCACACAGGCTCTGTCGTTGCTGTTGTTAGTCATTTAGGGCAAAGGTGACCCCACCATCAACAGGACTTTTTACATGGTGTATGCTCTACAGAATTCATTTTCTTATGTCGCATACTCTCTTTTCACACAGACATCCTCTCCAGTTGTCACGAGTGCCAAAGCTGATGTAAGTGTCCACTTCAATGACCAAGCCTTGGTTCTGTCATCTGTGAGGGGACAAATGCTCTCCACATCTCCTGTATTTGTTTTGAGGATTGAAGTTTGACATGTGAACTGTCGCCAAGCCCAGAACTAGACTCAGTAATTATTCCTATAACCACCGCTGCTCAAAAGCAAGAGAGAGAGTGTAAAACCACAGGTCCTGGGGCCAGAGAGATGGCTCAGCAGTTAAGTGCTTACATAAGATCTCTGTTTGGTTCCCAGTACCAATACAATAGCTCACAATGGCCAGTAACCCAGTTCTTGAGGATCTTACACCCTCTTCTGACCTCTGCAGACTGAGGTGCACACACACACACACACACACACACACACACACACACACACACACACACAAATAAATAAATAAATAAATAAATAAATAAACATTAAAATACATGCTTTTACACAGGCAAATTCACAGAGCATAGAGAAAAGCAGCCAGGCATAAGAATCCATACCTGTGTTTGCATCTGTACGTTGGAAACCAGACAAAACCTATCTACAGTGTCCCTGATCCATGCTAGACTGTTGACTGGCTTGATCTTGTGCAGACATCCTCAGCTGCTGTGAGTTCATGCATGGGATGCTCCTGTCATGAGCAGAAGAGCTGTTTTGCCCTAGTCTTCCCCAATTTCCTTTCCTCCCTACTCTTCTGAAACACCCCTTGAGCCTTAGGGAGAAGGCAAAATAAAGAGATCCTATTCCCAAGTGAGCACACCCCAGACCCTTGCTCTCTGCACTTTTACTAGTTGTGAGTCTCTACATTAGCCACTGTCCACAGTACAAAAAATAGAAGGCACTTTTTCAGACTAAAGGTGAACATGGCATCTAACTGTGGCTGTGAACTGTACCTTGGTTTTTCTTCTTCCAAAAGCATGTTCGTGCTTCTGTTCCCTGGGACTCCTGCTTTAAATCAGTTGTTCATTTTTCTAGTAGATGATCAGCATTCCAAATGCATGTAAACTATATAAATTAGATCTCAAGAAAGCAATTCACCAATTATATACATCACAAATATCTTTGGAAATATTTCATTTCTCCAGTGCATCCAGAGCCCATGCATGTTTTTGTTGCTGTTTATTTTTAATCACCAGATGCATCTTCTACTCTTGAAGAATCTGGGCCTCCCTGACTCTGTTTTATTTCTCTGTTCAGGACTGTGGTCCCTCTATTGGACTAGCGGCCGGAATTCCCTCCCTGCTGGCCACAGCCCTGCTGGTGGCCTTGCTGTTTACCTTGATTCAGCGAAGAAGAGGCATCGATGAGCCCATTGAGGTGATCGCTGCTTCTTTGGGTGTGAATGTGTAGCTTGAATCGGTATCTCAGTGAACTGGCCTCTGTCTGGGCTAGGCATGTCAGAACCCAGAACCTGTGTTGTTTCTGAGGACAAGGTAGTAGACGTTGCTGGACTGAAATGTCCTTCATAGGTAGATTCAGGCAGAGCTGACTTGCACATGACTCTCTGGTCACTTGAACAAATCTCTGGCAATAAGATGACATTTGGTGGCAAAATATAGGAATGGAGGGAGGTTATTGGTGGCATGCAAACATGTTTGTACGGTGGGGTGTTATCTGCACCAAGGGAGGAAAAGGCACAGGTTTCATCATCGGATAGTAAGAATGTGAGGGGAACAAGAGACAAAGAAGTGCTGAGGTGTCTATGGAAGGGATACGTTGAGACCTTGCCTGTTCCTGTGTCTAAATAGGCATGACTTACAAGAGAATGTGCATGGACCCCCCTGACATCCCATACTTGAATCAGATTTGCCCTGGGGACCATGAATGGTCACCTAGATCCGTATCCAACAAGGCTTCACAATATACTATACCTGTGCCACGTAGCCTCTGAGTTCTAACTTCACTCTCTACTTATAAACAACTACGGTTGTTTTCATACTGGTAGATATTAACATGGGAAGATAGAAAGCAGACATCCAAACACACAAAACAAAACAAAACAAAAAATAAAGAATTTCTGGTGATAGAACTATGTAATTGTTCTAAAAACTGATTGTTTATGGTGGTGGGGATCAGGTACAGGACTTTTCCCACATGCTAGGCAAGTACTCCACCACTGAGCTGCACTCCCAACCCAACACATATTTTTATTATGTATATAGTCCCCCTGAACATCATTCACAAAGGATACACTTCAAGACCACGTAGTAGTCACTTGATGCTGTGAAGCATGTTGAACCCAATGTCCCTATGGACACTATGCACAAAAATATGATAACAATAAATTAGTCACCCTGAAAGATTAACATTCTTAGTGAATAAATAAAACTGAATGACTTAAAATAGAACAATAAATGTCCCTGTCAGCTATCACAGGGCTGGTATCATATACAGCATGGATTCAAAGAGCAAGGGGATGGGATGAAGTAGGGTGGCTCAAGGCTTCTCACGCTATTCAAAATGGAAGCTTATAACTTTTGGCTTCTGGGATTCCCATTAACATCTTAAGATCCCAGTTGGCTACTGGTCACTGAAGCCATTGCAAGTGCACAGGGGGATTACTGGAACTGCCAACATATGGTAATGTGGAAAGTAGAGTACGGAGAATCCAATTATCACCTCACAGCCAATCCTGTTTCATCTCCTCTTGCTCACTTCGTCGCAATGCCAACCCTGGACTGTTTTTGAATAATGATGCTTCTTGAGTCTGTTCATTTTACTCGAGGTAGCTTAGCTTTGCTTAGCTGCGTGTTTGTTTTGTTTTAAAACCTTCTGGCAATTCTAATGGGCACTGTGGTTTAAAACACAATGATTTGAATGGTTACAGCTATGGTCTTTCATTTGTTGTTTATTTATTTTTGACTATTTTAGGAAAGTGAGAGACCATGTGAAATTTCAGAACTCTATGACAATCCCAAAATATCTGAGGTAAGAACTTTTTATTATAATCCCCACATGTGACAGAAAGTGTAGCAAGCTAAGGATTTTTAAGCCTAGACCGCACAAAGGTGCCATCTGAAAGGAGGCAATTAAACACAGTGAAAGCACAAAGGAGGTGATCCAGGTGTCTTTACTGACCAGACAGGAATTCAAAGTTGATTTAACTTTAGCAAACAGGGCGTGGACTGTAGATCAATGGTAAAATACTGACCTAACACATAGAAGTCACTGGGTTCTATGCCCAGCATGGAAAATTCAAACAACAGCAAAAAAGAAAATCAACTTAATATAACTTATTGAAAGGACAAAAGAACCAGCTGCGTGGCCGCGCTAATAGAACACAGGGGTTTATAGGAAGGTAGGTCACTTGTGATGAGAGATATTTATTCTTGTTTATTTAGTGTGTGCGTGTGTTTGTGTGCACACAATGTATGTGTGTGTGCACACATATGTTTGGCTATGTGTACCATGGAATGTGTGTGGAGGTCAGAGGACATTCAGGTGTCTGTCCTTGCCTCCCACCTTGTTTAAGAAGAATTTCTTTGCTGTTTTCCGCTGTGGATGCTGGCCCACAAGCTTCCAGGGAGTCTCCTGACTCTGCCCCACATCTTCCGTAAGACTGCTGGCATTACAGACACTTGCATTGTACGTCTGGATTTTATATGGGTTCTGGGGATTCGAACTCAGATCTTTACACTTGCATAGTAGGCACCATTTCTCCCCAGCCCTTGAAATGGACTTTCTTTTTTTTTTTTTTTTTTTGGTTTTTTGAGACAGGGTTTCTCTGTGTAGCTTTGCGCCTTTCCTGGAACTCACTTGGTAGCCCAGGCTGGCCTTGAACTCACAGAGATTCGCCTGGCTCTGCCTCCCGAGTGCTGGGATTAAAGGCGTGCGCCACCACCGCCCGGCGAAATGGACTTTCAAAGGTGAGCTAAAATAGGAACTTGACTTGAAAAGGGATACCTAAGGGAATATGTCATTAAGATCAGAAACAAATAAAAAATGTTCATCACTTGTATTCAGCACTGGACTTTAGGTCCTAACCAACACAATGGAATAAGAAAAGGCAAACATAACTTGAAAAGGAAGAAGTAAAATTATCATAATTTGCAGATCATATGTGACTGTCAACATAGAAAAAACAATAACCTACAGATAGGTTATTAGAATTAGCAAAATAGTTGAATAAGTTTATTGCACATAAAAACAATACACAGGATTTAGCTCTGAGGTAGAGCACTCACTGAGCATGAGCAAAGGCCTAGGTTTGATCTCCAACACTAAAAAAAACATTCAAAATCATGTGCATTTCTTAATATCAACAGCTACCAGTTAGAAAAAGAATTTTATGAATTCCTATTTTACAGTGGTAATAAAATACATAGAATGCTGAAAACAAATTTGATGAAATGTCTAATCCTATTATGGAAAAACTAAATCTTCAATAAAAGAATTCAACAATAGCTAAGTTATGATAGTTATATACTTTAATCCTGGAAAGGAAGATTCACCATCATAAAGATGTCAATTTATGGTACTTTTAGTATCTGTATAATCAGTGTAATTATGGAGCTAGAGAGCAGTTAAAAGTACTTATTGCGCCGGGCGGTGGTGGCGCACGCCTTTAATCCCAGCACTCGGGAGGCAGAGCCAGGCGGATCTCTGTGAGTTCGAGGCCAGCCTGGGCTACCAAGTGAGTCCCAGGAAAGGCGCAAAGCTACACAGAGAAACCCTGTCTCGAAAAACCAAAAAAAAAAAAAAAAAAAAAAAAGTACTTATTGCTTTTTCCAGAAGACCTGGGTTCAGTTCCCAGCACCCATATGGCGGCTCACAATGGTCTATGCTAATTCTAGGGCATCTGCACTCTTCTGACCTCCTCAGATACCAGGCATGTGCATTTAGGGAAAACATTCATACACATAAAAATTAATTTAATTTTTAAAATAAACATAATTGTGATATAAATCCCAACACATTTCTCAATAAACTTAGTAAGATTCTAAAGTTTATAGGGAATAAAACATGAGAAAAGTAATTAAAAAATAACATGTAGGCCTGGAGAGATGGCTTAGCAGTTAGGAGCACTGACTACTCTTCCAGAGGTCCTGAGTTCAATTCCCAGCAACTACGTGGTAGCTCACAACCATCTACAATGGGATTTGGTGCCCTCTTCTGGCGTGCAGGCATACATGTAGGCAGAACACTGTATACATAATAAATAAATCTTTTAAAAGAAAGAACATGTAGAAAAAAATGAAAAAAAAAAAGCAAGATAGTGGGTTTGAACCCAACTATAACAATGATCATATTAGATGTAAATGACCTAAACAGCTTCAATTGCAAGGCAGAGAGAGTCAGTTTGGCTATAAAAGCAATAGCCAACTTTCTAAAAATCTACAGAATCACACTTTATGAATATAAAGACTTGAACAGATTAAAAGTTAAAGGACGGAGGGCTGGAGAGATGGTTCAGAGGTTAAGAACACTGACTGTTCTTCCAGAGGTCCTGAGTTCAATTCCCAGCACCCATATGGTGACTCACAACCATCTGTAATGGGATCTGATGCCCTCTTCTGACCTGCAGGGATACGTGCAAACAGAACACTGAATACATAATAAATAAATAAATCTTATAAAAAAAAGTTAAAGGTTCCAGGAAAGGCGCAAAGCTACACAGAGAAACCCTGTCTCGAAAAACCAAAAAAAAAAAAAAAAAAAAAAAAAAAGTTAAAGGAAGGAGACACTGCGCTAACAATAATTAGAGAGAGTTGTGTCGCATGAAAAACCCTTGAAGGCAATAAGTTCAGGCAACGGTAGACACCACTCATTTCCTGCCCCTCAAGAGTCAGTGTCTTTAGTCTCCTGATCCCCACTGTCTTGCCAATCATTGTTTCAAATGTTTGGTCTGATTTTGGCAGTTTCCATTGGAAGGGTCAATATAGTTGAGCCCTTCTTGGCCAGAAGCTGAAGTCTCTACTATATTATTTTAAAAATCTGTTTGTGTTCTCAAGAATCCTAGGCGGTCACCGACACATGAGATGGACCCACGAGGTGCCCAGGAAGGCCACATATATGTGAAGACAGTCTCTGGAAGTGAGGAGCCCCTGCCTGACACCTACCGTCCTCCCGAAGAAATAGAGAGAAGGAGAGGGCTGTGGTGGCTTGTGCCAAGGCTGAGCCTAGAATGACGTAGCTTTATCAGGGAGCTGACCTGGAGCTGGCACAGGGCTGAAAACCCCGGGATCTGTGCTTGGGAACCATGCTTGGAGAGGCGAGGGGCCAGCTGCCTCTCATTCCATATAAATTTCATTTATAGATCTGGGGTGTATCTGGGTTGTTTTTCCTTATCAGGGGATGCTGCAATAAGGTTCATTCAACCTCAGACCTTGCAGCTTAATCATCGATACAGCCCAGGTGAGTTACTGTGCATTCAGATGAGCCCCCTTTGTCCTGTTTCTTAATCCAGAGAAGTTTGCTTTTGGGAAATAGGCTTGGCTTCTGAGTGTCCTGCCTTCTCCTCTGCCTGCCCCATCTCTTATCTTAAAAAGTAAGTAAATAAAGCTATGGGAGTTGGATTTTCTGGGTCATTGGCCAAGGCCAGCTTGGCACAAGCTAGGACATGAGTGAAACTTACAGAAGACATGGGAAAGAAGATATTTCTTCCTTCTGAATATCTCAGGGTAAGGCTCACATGGAGCCACACATGCCTCCAACACAGGGAAGCATGTGACAAGACCACGTCATACAGCCAAGAAGGGGACATGGACTTCTGAGTCAGACCTGCCACTGAGCAGCTGTGAGAAGTCTGATGAAGTCACCCACACTCTCCAAGCCTGTTTGGGGTGGTATAAAAGAGGAGGGGGAGATATTCTGTGCTTCATTTGGGCTTTGGAGAAATTATGTAAGACCTGAAGGGAAGAGTTTTCCACCTAGTGGACACTAGCAATACCCATTCCCACTCCTGACCCTGCTCCTCACACCTCCTCCCATCCTGCTTGTCTGATCAAGTCAAGAGGCTGCGCTGCAGCACCTCTCACCCAGAGTCACAAAGTCAACAAGGAAGTGTAGATTCCAAACTTTCCTCATGACCTGCAATCCAAACTGTGGGATTTAAAAATAACTCTCATTGTCCCACCGGTCTGCTCACTTGAACTCTGAACAGCATTTGTCCTTGTGTGTCAACCAAGTTTCAACTTCCAAGTACAGAGGCCTGCGTTACACATGACACGTTAACCTCCAGGATGCTGACGTCTTTGATGGCTCATCTTCATTGTCGACCTGATGGGACTTAGAATCACCATGGAAACACACCTCTAGAAAGGTGTAACTGAACAAGAAGATCCACCTGAATGTGAGACGCACCATTCTAGGGGCGGGGCTTCTGGACTGAATCCAGAGGACTTCAAGTTGAGCACACAGAATTCATCGCCCTCTGTTTCCCGACTACAGATAGACTGTGTGACCAGCTGCCACACTCTCCTGCGGCCATGCCTTTCCGGCTGTGATGAACTGACTGCACCCTCAAACTGTGAGCCAAAAGAAGCCTTTCCACCTTCAAGTTGATTTTATCAGGCATCCAATTGTAACAATGAGACATAACTAACATAAAACTGAGATTCATGTTTTAATGACTTTCTTTGCAATGAGGCATTTTGTTTTGAAGTATTCTAAAGAAAAGATGTTTGTGAGGGAGAGAGATAAAGAGGACCAAAGATGAACACAGGACCAAAGGGATGGGTTAGTATATCTACACCTGCCATCCGAGGGAAATCTGGGGCTGACTTCACCAGCTTGGGCCAGGCCTTTGCCTTTACTTTCCCAGATGGCTTCCAGGTAGCCTGGTCACAGCTTCTTCTGATGCATGGCCACTACCTTGGACAGACCATGCTTCACAGTGGGAGAGGTGAGGTCTCAGGGCATCTCTGGGAGCATCTACAATCTCCATGAGCCACCTGGATATCCCAGGGAGCCATCTTTTCTCAGATGGGGCCTCTGGATGCTCAGAAATGATTCTACTTCTTGAACAACAGGGAATGGTTCTGTAAACCCGATGACCACCACCCACTAATAACTGCTTTCAAAGCAACTCTGAAATTCAATTTTGTGTTTCATGGACCCAGCTCCTTAGATAAGCTCATTTGGGACATCTTCAAGCAGCCATGCCCAGGGATGCTGAACATTTACTTCTCTTACATGGTGGGGAAGGACCTAGGACTCCCTGAGAACCTGATCAGACTGTGGCCTTGTGGCTTTGATGTATACGGGTATCAGCTCCAGCCTAGAATGTTGGTCACCTAGAACCTCAGTTCTATGCTTATAAAACTGACCCCAGAGGGCATCTGTGAGGCCTGATTGAAAAACAATTATCAGTAAGCCTTGTAATTGATAAACTAAGGTATGACTGTGTCTTAGATACTCTATTTTAATTCTACTTACAATCAATTGCTTGGAATCTTTATTTTAAATTATTTTCACTAAAATTTCAAGAGTCAGTATTTCTGTTGGTACAAAAACTTCTTTTGTAATAAGGTGGGAAATAAATGGCCATCTGACAAACTCTCTGTGGTTCTTCCCCGACAGTAAGGGGGCAACTTTCCCCTTTTCTCTTTTCTGCCTCTTTCCCTCGGATGCTGGCCAGAACCTAAGTGTGCTTGCTCTGGCACTGTGGGTTCCAGAACTTTCTCTAAAGCCCCCTCCCTGCCTTGTGGCAGGACTCCTTTAGTAGGCAGTGAGGAGACCTCCATGCTGCAAACTGAGACAGCACTGTGGTCCTGTTTCCTTCTTTCCTCCATCCTCTTCCTTCATCAACTGATACATTGGAAAGATCTGGATTTGGGGTATTAGTCAGGCCTCACTCAAATTTACCAGCTCGCCTGCTGCAAAGGAAAAGTTAGGCTTTTCGGAGTAATTCCACAAAGCAGGCAGGCATAGCAAAGCTTTGTGATGACGACTCCATGACTCCATAAGCGACTCCACAGAAGGGGTGTTTCTGGGAGGGAAACGTACAGTCAGTCATCCTATCCCCTTAGCAAGGCTTTAGCTGAAACAACCTGACAAGGGGTGGTCTCTTGGCCAAATGACTGACAGGCCCAGATGGGTTATCTTCTAAGGGAGGAGTGATGGTATGAAACATTCTGTCCTTTTGGGACAGATCATGCTGCCACCCACGACCAAAGGTATTCTGTTCTTTTGACCAGGCCTAAGAAACGGCAAAGCTGATGTTTGCCTTTCGAGTGTTACCAGTGGAGTGGGAGGTGGGGGCCAAAGCTCCAGTGGCCTCCAAGAACATGAAGAAGGGGCAGCTGGGTAAGGCTGACTATCCCTCTGTGGGGAGAAGCACAGTAAGCTGGGACATCAGAGTCCCACCACCCCTACGATATACAAGACTGTGACCAGGGGCTCTCTTCTTCATACGGCATCACCCATCTCCTGGAAACAGACGGACACTCATCAGTTTATCTCCAGCTCTACAGCAGGTTGAGGATGCCGACATAGTTCAATAGATAGCTTTTTAGGTCCCTTCAGGGCATAGGGTCTGTCTAGTTGGTGCCCTCCTGGAGGAAGCAGGAGGGGAAGAATGGATCTGGTGAGGGATCTTCCAGAGGTTTGCTTCCTTGCCTTGGGTGCCCTGAGATGAAGAAATCCACACTGTTTCTCTGAGAGCTCCAGATGGAAAAGGGAGACTTTCCGGCCATGGTTTAGGAAACTGCTTTTGTGACCAAGAGAGAGCAATGAGAATTCATCCCTGATACAGCTCAGTGCTGGTCAGGAAAGGAACCAGCTCACAGCAGAGCCAAGATAACTAGGAGTCAGTGCCCTGCCTCCCAGCACTTCCAAAGGGACTCAGAGTCCCCTTGGGAACCTCAGATGTACTAATTATACCTGTGTGTCCCTTCAAAATAAACCACGAGCTCTTTCTCTTCCAGGTTCCATTTGTGTGTAGAAATATAATAATTGAACAAAGCAAAGAAAAACTTTAACCTTCTGTTTCTATTTTTATTGATGATGCACAGAGATCCAGACACACAGGGGTTAGGTGGGCTTTGATGCACTTCTCTGGATGACGCACTGATGACAATACCATTTTTATTGAAAAAACATGAATTCTGTGCATCAGTGGGACAGACAGCCTGAGAATGTGACCCACGGTCGTGTCCTGGCTTATCAAGCCTCCGAAGTTGCTCTAGAATATTCTCTATGCATAGTATACATATGATCCATTTGCTGTCTGCATTCCCTGGGGCCTAAACAATCCCAGACTTCCCTAAGCCATCTTTAACTAACACACGGCACAATTTGTCTAACCTGAAGAGAACAATGTCAACTCATTCTTAGGCATTTCTTTCCTGTGGTTCAATGTAATCCAATCCCAGATGGGCAAAGATCTCTTCTTCACTGTCGGCTTCAAGAAACACCCTCTGCAAGCATAAGGAGAAACACACACACTCAGGAGCTTTCCTTCAGCATCTCAGTACAGACACACTGAACCGCCTCCTCAGGGTGAGTGACAGCTGAAGCATCCCACCCTGCTCCTGAACATAAAAGATCAGAGAAAGTCAGGGTGTGGTGACTCACACCTGGGATCCCAGCACTTGGGGTGCAGAGGCAGGAGCCTGGGCTGCAGAGTGAGACCTTAACCCAAACAAACAGAAAAAAGCCCTAGTTACTGCTTCCTGTAGTTTTGACACTTTCCCATCCAGGAAAATGGCACATGTAGATTAAGGTAAAATTGTGACAGAGCTCCCCAGTCAGCAAATGATACATGGATACTTTTCCAATGAGCCTCTAATTGTTCTAATTTTTCTTTGTGTGTGTGTGTGTGTGTGTGTGTGTGTGTGCATGTTTGTGTATGTGAACACGTATGCGTGGGGATGCATGTGTATTCATGTGTTCCATGTGGAGGGCAGAAGTCAACACTGGATATTGTCTGCCTCTAACACTTTCCTTTTTTTTTGAGACAGGCTTTCTCACTGAGCCTGGAGCTTACTATTGACTAGACTGACTATTCAGCTCCAGGAATCTGCTTGTCTTGGTTTTGCCAATGGCTAGAGTTACTGGTATGTCCACCACTCCTGGCTTTTATGCGGTGCTAAGGATCTGAACTCAGGTCCTCACGATTACACAGCAGGAAATTTACAAATAGAACCATCTCTCCAGCCCTACTGGTCTCTTCTATTCTTAAAATAGATTTTTATGTATATGGGTGTTTTGCCTGTGCATATGTCTATATACCACATTCATGCCTGGTGCCCGAGGGGGCCAGAAAAGGGCATCGGAGCCACCACGTGGGTGCTGGGAATCAAACCCAGATCCTCTGTAAGAGAAGCAAGTGTTCTTAACCACTGAGCTATCGCCCCAGCCTAGACTCTTATTCTTAACCATAACTGTTCTTGGAACCACTTGATGAAGTCTTTTCTTTTTTCCCCAATAAAATACACTGAAGCCTGAGTCACACTCAATCCAAGGAAATCAAAATTCCCAGAGAGGTCTTGTTATTAATCTACTTAAAGTTCTAGGTTATTCTAATGTGCAGCAGAGGGACAAAGTGCTAGTCATGGGGCTGCTGTATGTGCTGTGATCTCTACAGCCTTCCATGCCTGCCCATAGGCCCCACCCTCCGGCTTCCATCCCATGATCTCTTTAAGACTACACACTTCTTCCCTTGAGTCCCTTCTAATACATAGCACAGGCCTGGGCCCAGAGCTGACACTTGTTGAATTATTTTTTATACATTCACTTGCAAGCCTTCCTGAATTGAACCCCGTAACTCTGCCTCCACCAACATGCTCAGTTTCTGAGTATTCTGTCAGCGCCTACTCCTCCCCCTCCTCTGTGAGAATGATCTTGAATTTCTATGAGGACTCCCTCATCTCTCCATTCATGAAGATGTGGGATTGCTCCCATCTTTAGGAAGAAGCACACCACCCAAGCCTGGCCAATCGGAACTACGGCAATGGATTAATAGATGAACACATCACCAAGCCTGGTCAATAAGCAGTTAGAATCCATGCAAAAACCATTAGAAAAAAAAAAGATCTTCCTTGTTAGAATAACTAGATGAATGGGACTCATGAGAAAACCTTGCCTGACAACGAAAACAGCTCTGGAAAACCCAGCTGAGCACCTGGATACAGCTGTACCTGAAGCCAGGGTTGACCCAAAGGCAGCAGTGTTTACCCAAGTTCCTTTTCTTTTTCTTTAAGGTATGTTTGTTGTTGTCAGTTTCTTTTAAACTATAATAAACCCTGAGGGGGCAAGGAGATTAGATTTTTTTTTCTGTACAGAGTTTCTCTGTGTATCCCTGGCTGTCCTAGAACTCTCTTTGTAGACCAGGCTGGACTTGAACTCAGAGATCCATCTGCCTCTGCCTCCCAAGTGCTAGGATTAAAGGGGTGCACCACCACCACCCAGCCAGAGATCAGATCCTTACTTCTAGTGATCCCATGTCTTCTTCTCCCTCCAAGCCTAATTTGGTGCCCTTGACAACTATAAGAAAAGTGGACTTTTTGCTCATGGATTTGACAGTAGAATTGTTAATTCTTCATCAGCCACATAGTAATGTCACTGTTCTGAGGCATGAGTTGAACAACGTGCCACTGTCAAGCGAGTCCCCCATGATTAGTGACTGAGGCTTGATGGCCTCCCATCCATCTGTGTGCACCTGTGTCGCTCTACTGTAGGAGAATGTCGCTCATTCATGACCCACTCAGAGCATGGTTGCATTGGATTGGTGTTTGTGGGATGCTTCTGATTTGTAGCAAGCCTTGATTTTCTTTGGAGTGAATGACTGTAAGCACCAAGCATACAGTCAACTCAATTCTGGTCACCTCTGTGCTGGCCCTGGAGCCCCATCAGCTCACTATCTGAGCCAGAAGCCTCAGAGCTGCACCCTGGGCCAGGTGGGGACTGTCACCTGAGCCGACATTTCCAGCTCCTTTCCGCTGCGGTCCGCAGAGAACAGAACATTTGTACCAAAGAAACCTGGACATGAAAATCACTTAGGGTTGGGGTGGGGATGAAGTAAGAGAGCCCAGCAGGTAAAGGTGCTTTCTGCCAGTCCTGAGGACCTGAGTTCGATACCTAGAACCTACATGGTAGGTCGGAACTGGCTCCCCTGACCTCCACATGCAGACCATGGCATATGCACACCCATTTCTGCCACTATAAAAACATAAATAAATGTCATAAAAATTGTTTAAGAAATCTGTTCAAGGGAAGGACTTGGGGTCAAGGGTCAGTAGTGCATCTTAGCAAGGGAATGCTACCTTGGTCTTGTCATACAGAGCATGGTTATCCAGCATCATCTTCCGCTCATGGGTGGCATAACGTCGCAAGTCTCTCTCAAACTGCTGCAAAGAGAATTGAAATAAATTACTATCCATATGCAGTGTTTAGAGCCATCCTGCACCCTTGGGTGTTTGAAACTGCCATCTCCTAGCATATGTTCTTGTATGACTTTCTTCCCCAGGGCCATGGTCCTGGGTGGCTGAGCTCTGGGGTCCCTGTACCAGAACAGAAACTCAGTGTGAACGGGAAGCTAATGGGCTTGTTCCCTT